AAAGCAACAAAGATATAGTGGTAAAAGGGTCAATATAACAACAAGAGCTAACGATCCTAACACCCAGATACATAGAGACTTAGATTCAATGAGACAGAAAATTAATAAGGATATCAAGGACTCGAACTCAGATCTAGAACAAGTAAACTTAATAAATATTTATAGAGCTCTCCACTTGAAATACATAAAATATACATTCTTGTCAATACCACATCACACCTACTCATAGGTTTAAATGAAACATTGATTGGCCATTATTAATACCCATTTTTTTTTCAGAATAAAGCAATATTTCCATTCACCCTCCCTCTCTCTCTTCCTCTTTCTTTCTCTCCTTTACTCATTTTTTTTTCTTTCCTTCTCTCAAAAAAAGAAATCAACTTGTAAACCTCTAGATCCAGGTTGGCAATGTCTCTCTCATTGCTTGAATTCCCTCCCTCCCTTCCTCCTTCCCTCCCTCCATCCTTCCCTCCCTCCCTTCCCCTCTTCCTTCTTTCATCCCTTCCTTCCTCCTTCCCTCCCTAAAAAAAAAAAAAAAAAAATCAGCCGGGCGTGGTGGTATGTGACTGTAATCCCAGCTACTCGGGAGGCTGAGGAAGGAGAATTACTTGAACCCAGGAATGGAGTGGAGTGTAGGAAATAACAATAAATAAAAGGCTCATCTTCAAAGCTTTCATTTTAGCTCATTACAAATAAAAGTTTCTTCAAATGTTGACTTCAAAGCTTTTGCCAATAAAGCCCAGGCAAGTCTTAGGTCATAGCTTATTCCCCTTCCTTATTTGAAAATGTTATTTCTTCTCTCTCTCTCTCTTTTTTTTTTTTTTTTTTTGAGACAGAGTCTTGCTCCGTCGCCAGGCACCAGGCTGGAGTGCAGGGGTGCCATCTCAGCTCACTGCAACCTCCGACTCCTAGGTTCAGGCAATTCTCCTGCCTCAGCTTGCCAAGTAGCTGGGACGACAGGTGCATGCCAGCACGCCCCAGCTAATTTTTGTATTTTTAGTAGAGATGTTTCACCATGTTAACCAAGATGGTCTCGATCTCTTAACGTCGTGATCCGCCTGCCCTGGTCTCCCAAAGTGCTGGAATTACAGGCGTGAGCCACTGTACCTGGCTGTTATTGCTTCTTTAAGCATTCCTCAAGTTACTTCCTCTTTTCCTTTATTCTCCTCTGCCTTTACTTCTTTTTTTTTTTTTTTAGACAGAGTTTCGCTCTTGTTACCCAGGCTGGAGTGCTGCCTTTACCTCTTAAGAAAAGTTTTAAGTTGTTAGCCAACCAGGTGCAGCCTCAACTGTGAAGTCCAGTTTCAGCCAATGGAATCAGGACACAGGACCATTGGAAAAAGAAAGGGAACAGTAGGTTGGGTGCATTAAATAGAAAAGGCCCTGCCTTCTTTGTTCAGTGTCCTCTTGTTTCAAAATGGCTAACAGGATCACCCTTTCCATAGAAAGTAAAGTTGCCTTGCTGAAAAAAATTAAATTTATATTCAAGTGCTACTTACTTTACAGCACCAAAAATTTGCATATAATAATTTAGAGGCTCATCTAGAATTGACATTGCCCTCTGGGGTGGTCTCTGGTCCTCCCTCATGAGGGAGGTCCTCCTGTGGCAGCCTTGAGGGTAGAGAGCTGAGATCCACCTGTTGTGAGGAATAAACCCAGATTCTCAGCAATGTAGGCGAAAGAGATTCCAAACCGCAGCGACCAGGGGCCTGGACTAGCCAACCTCATGCACGAGCCAAGGCAGGAAACGTTGCAAAGGGGCGACAAAGTACTTCCTTGGTGGTCATACTCTGAAGGGTTGAATGTATGTGTGAATGCAGTGTTGTGTGAATGTTGTGTGAAGTCCTACTGCTGGACAAAGTGAGTTGGTCCTCTCTGTGGTTCTGTGGCTGCCTCACATGGCTTAGGACAGATCCCACCATGGGAATTATACCAGCACACTGACTCCAAGAGAACCCTAAATATCCTCTGGGGGAGCGGTCAAGGGGTATGGTATGAATGAAAAGAGTGTAAAAAACCTTCAGAAGGGGGAAGAGACAGAACAGGTCAACCTCCCAGGGCAGAAAACGCAATAAATTCCTAGCCTGAGGGGTTGAGTCTTCCATAAATGGAAAAGGTGAGAGATTCCCAGATTTGGGGGTTGAGGAACTTTGGGCGGGAGTGGGCCTTCCCTAAACAAAGAGACATTCTTAGCTTGCGGGGTTGGGCCTTCTGTAAAAATGGAATAGGCGAGACATTCGTAGCTAGAGTCTTCTGTAACCAACGACAAAGTATTGCTGTTTTATTTGGATTAAAGAACGGATCCTCAAGCCCGCAGTTGTCTGGGCAAAATTTGTGTTGGATGAGGATTAGGACTGTCAACTTTAACAATGTATGTCAACAACAAAAGCCCTGTCTCACAAGAAGAAATAGACTATGCTCTCTATTGGTGGCAGGGGCCAGTTCTCTACACATTTAGTGAAGGAGAAAAACAATCAGAGAGTAGAATAAAGTCAGGGGCGGTCTCACCTAAAAATGGTGGAGCTTTTATCCATGAGCAATCCACATGTAAATGGAACCCTTTAGACCATCTTCCCTTGTTTCCAGCTCTAGCTCCTGCTCCTGCCATCCATGCAGTACCATTTCCTTCTCCCCAAGTGGTGGCTGCCACCCCAGAATTCCTTACTCCCCCAGATAACCTAGGCTCTTGGGAGCTAGCGTCTCAAAGGCTTAATTATTGCCAGCCCGAATCTTCTTCCTTGAAGAAAGGGCTCTGGTGGGAGATAGAGCAAAGCAAAAGAGATACTCGAAGTTTTCCTTTCCCCTCTTCTTCCAAGAATCAGCTTCAGCTTCATGGCTTTTTTTTTTTTTCTCTCTAAAAAAGATGCCTCAAGGAAGAGGCCCGGTTAGTTTTCTGAAACCTCAAGGAGGAGGTGTGGTTGGTTTTGTGAATGCTCCCTTAACTGCTTCTAAGGTCCAAAGTCTAAGGAGAGAACTTAGCCATTATTAGATGACCCTGATGGGGTAGCAGAACAGATAATGTTCAGTTTTTAGGTCTCTAGTTACATACTTAGACTGAGTTAATGTCTATTATAAGTATTCTCTTTTCAAGGGAAGAAACAGTAAATATGAAGAGTCAGAGAGAGACAGAGAGTGAGAGAGGGAGAGACAAAAAGTAAGAGAGAGAGAAAGAGAGAGAGAGAGAGAAAGTCAAAGAGAAAAACAGAGAGGTGGAGAGAGACACAAGGAGGCAAAGAGAAGAGAGACAAAGGAGAGAGATTAGGAAGAAGAGAAATAAATATTAAGAAGTTAAAAGAATACACTTTTAGGGCCGGGCGTGGTGGCTCAAGCTTGTAATCCCAGCACTTTGGGAGACCGAGGCGGGTAGATCATGAGGTCAAGAGATCAAGACCATCCTGGTCAACATGGTGAAACCCCGTCTCTACTAAAGATACAAAAATTAGCTGGGCATGGTGGCACGTGCCTGTAATCCCAGTTACTCAGGAGGCTGAGGCAGGAGAATTGCTTGAATCCAGGAGGCGGAGGTTGCGGTGAGCCGAGATCATGCCATTGCACTCCAGCCTGGGTATCAAGAGCAAAACTATGTCTAAAAAAAAAAAAAAAAAAAAAAAAGAAAAGAAAAAAAGAATATATTTTTAGTAAGGAAAGTTATACAACAAAGTTAGAAAGATTGTGATACTTGTAAAAAATGTTATAGAAAGAAATTTATACAAGAAAACATGTTGTATAATTTTTGTTTTGAGTTTAAGCAAGTTTTGAAATGTTAATCGTAAGGGAAATTCTGTGTGTAAACATATTAGCTAAAGTTAAAGGGTTATCATCCAGTTTTTCTGTAAACTGGCCATTAAAATAAAAGCATAACAAGTTTTTCTTAAAGCACTCACCTGCTCTTTAACAAAAATTATAAAAGGTTGCAGTGTTTGCACCAAGGGCTTAAGACAGTTAGCGTGACTTGCCCCATCTTGGCTGCTGGACCTATCTGCTCTCCCCCCGCTCTCAAGGGCTGTCGAGTCAAGGTAAAAATGGCTAAGCCACTGAGGCAAAAACAGAATGCAGAGTAAGAGCCTGCGGTTTATGAGGACATTGTGCTGACTGCTTTCATATCCCCTTTAGTCTCTGTGTAAGCAATAGGATTGCTGCAATTGAGATGCCTGAGAGGACAAAGACCCCTGCCCATATTTTCTCAGGAGCTGAGCCTCTGTTCTACCTCCTGATGGAAAACATGACAACAAGCCACCTTAAGGGCACCATTGTTTGCTTGCACTGTGTATCTTTGAAAAACATATATTAACTCTTAAACTGCTTTGTAAGCTATTATCACAAGCCCCCTTAAAACTGCTTTGTGAGCTGTTATCACAAGCCCCTGATAACTATTTTTACGTGGTTTCTGTTCTCTTTTCTGTTTGCCCCCTTTTCTGCTGAGCTAAAGTAAATGTAACAAGACAAAAGGTATAAAAGCTGTAACCCACAAATATAAAGCTGCTTCTTGACTAAAAGTCTTTCAGACCTCCAGACTCCTCTTTTCTTTCTTCTTTCACTTCCGTGTACTCTCTCCCTCAGGTTGAACGAGACATCTACATTGGTGGTCTCGGGGACTCCTGCAGGTCAGTAGCCCCCCGGCAGACATGTCAGACCCCAACCTCTGGCACCCCCAAACAGGGACATGAGTATGAGAGGTACAGTGACGCACCCCAAATCAGAGGAGACAAGGTGAAGCCGCGGTTCTTGTAGTCTTGGACTCAAAATTCATCTGGAGAAAAAATGGAGTAATATGAGTCCAGATATCAGTCTATGTTTATAATGTTGATGCATCAAATGTTAAGAAATAGAGGTGCTAATGTAAAAATGAAACATGTTTCTAAGTTTTTAGAGATTGTCTATGTATTGTGCCCATGGGTACCTGAGGAGGGATTGTTAGATGAATCTACGTGGAGTAAAATAGGAACTAAGATTGAGAAATATGCTGCTACTCATCAATCTTCCCCGCAGGCAGAACTGTTACTTTCGGTTTGGCCACAGCTGTGCTACGCCGTCTGCCTGCTTCCTGCAACACTGCAAGCGCTGGCACTCACTACTCCCCTGCTGCCTCTCTTGCTTCTAATCCCTCTTCCTCTTACAAATCTAACCCTGATGATGGAGGGGGCAGCTGTAATTTACCACCTTGTGATCCTCGAAACGAGCCTGATTCTGCCCTCGAAGTCGGACCTGGAGCCGGAAATAGAGGAGCTTGGGACGAAGGGATCAAAACCAAAGTAAAAAATGGCGCTTCGGAGAACGCACAGGTGACTGCTTTAGCTGCACCCTTAATTATTTCCCCCAAGCAATTTTCCAGGCTCCTGGCTTCGCTTTCTAAACCTGCTCAGGCTTTTCCTGTAGCTACTACGCCTTCCTCTAAGCCTGTGGTGCACTCTACCCTGCAACCAATCAAGGCTCTTCCTCTCTCTTGACCTACTGTTCAGGACTTTACCTCTGTCCCACCACCGAAATCCTATTAATGCCTGATTCTGGTGTGATTCCAGTCCCAACAGGTATTTTTGGCCCATTACCAGATGGATATATAGGTCTTTTACTAGGACGTAAGGCAATTCCACATATTGTTCCCACTATTGTTGATCAAAACTTCACTGGGGAGCTGTGTTAGCTTCTACTACCGGAGGGCTAGTTACTTTACAGCCAGGCTCTCCCTTCACACAGCTTCTGCTTGTACCTCACAAAGAGAGCGCTATCTCAGATACATCCCCTTCTTGGGACAAGAAAGATCCTTCTTACCAGTGCTGGGTACAAGCCATTTCAGCATCACGACCAGAAATGATTACCATTAATGGAAAGAAATTTAGGGACCTTCTGGACACTGGAGCAGACGTTTCTGTAATTTCTTCAGAGTTTTGTCCCCCTGCATGGCCTGTCACACAGGCTTTTATGTCCCTGCAGGGCATAGGCACTTCCTCTAACCCTTATCAGTCCTCTCAACTGTTATCTTGGTCAGATAATGAAGGCCATACTGGCTCTTTCCACCCATATGTTTTGCCCAATATCCCCATTAACTTGTGGGGCTGTGACATTTTACAGTCTATGAATGCTCACTTGGTTACTTCTATCCCTGCCCTAGATATCATGATGAAACAAGGCTTCCATCCCTCTAAAGGTCTTGGTCGAAATTTACAAGGTGACCCTGTGCCCTTAGAAGTAGTTCCTAAAAATGATCATTCAGGGTTCGGGGTTTTTTCCAACAGGTTGCTGTGATTCCTGGCACCCATGCTGATTCCATCACTTGGCTTTCTGATTCTCCTCTGTGGGTAGACCAGTGGCCCCTTTCTGCTAAAAAAAATTGCTGCAGCTAGAGAGCTGGTCAAGGAACAGCTCGCAGCTGGCCATTTAAGACATTCTAATAGTCCATGGAATACTCCTATTTTTGTCATTAGAAAGAAATCTGGTAAATGGAGACTCTTATAAGACCTTAGGAAAGTAAATGAAATTATGGAAGTCATGGGACCTCTACAACCTGGTCTCCCTCCACCTGTTGTTGTTCCTCAAAATTGGGAATTAATAGTTATTGATTTGAAAGATTGCTTCTTTTCCATCCCCTTGGCACCTCAAGATTGCTGCAGGTTTGCCTTCAGTGTTCCTGCAACCAATGTTGACAGGCCTTTTGAGCGCTATGAGTGGACTGTTTTGCCTCAAGGAATGGCAAATAGCCCCACCTTGTGTCAGAAATTGCGTTGCTCAGGCAATTGCGCCCCTCTGTGAGCGCTATCTAGATGTTCTTTTGCTACATTATATGGATGATTTCCTTTTGGCTGCTCCTTCCCCTGGCCTCCTACAGGAAGCCTTTCAGGATTTAAGTGACCCCCCCTTACAAATTCAAACTTAGTTATATCTCCTGACAAAGTCCAAAAAGTAACTCCTTTCCATTACTTAGGTCACCTCATTGACTCCAATCAAGTGTCCTATAAGACTCCTATCTTATCTACTGCCCATCTCAGTACATTAAATGAATTCCAAAAGTTTTTGGGAGACATTAATTGGATCAGACCTAGCTTTAAATTAACTACTGGTCAACTCAAGCCACTTTTTGATATGCTCAGAGGCCCCGCAGACCCAAAGTCTCCCCAGACACTTACTGATGAGGCTAGACATGCCTTGCAATTGGTGCAAGATGCTCTCTCAGAACAAAAACTAAACTGTGTCACTATTGGGGTATCTTGGTGTTTATGCATTTTACACACCTCCTACACCCCCACAGGCCTACTGGCAAAAGGGAATCTTGGAGTGGCTCCATCTGTCTGCCAGTCGGCCTCGTATTGTTACTCCTTACTATGACTTAGTGTCCATGCTAATTGCCAAAGGCTGCCTCAGGGCACTTGCTCTCTTTGGCTCTGACCCACCTCTTATAATTGTTCCTTATACCGCTCAAGAACAGTCCTGGTTATGGTCATTCTCTGACTCATGGCAAGGAGCTCTTGCAGGTTTCACTGGACAACTTTCCTGCCACTATCCCAAAGACAAAATATATTGCATTTTTATCCTCAATGTAATCTCATTTTCCCCAAGACTTGTTCTTTGCAGCCAATTTCTCAGGCCACTTTGGCATTTACAGACGGTTCCTCAAACGGACTTGCCGCTGGACAGATTGATGACATTCCCTTTTCTTTCCAAACACCTGAAACTTCCGCCCAAAGGGTGGAATTGCTTGCTGTTCAACATGTGCTCTCCACTTGTGGTCAATCAGTTAATATATACTCTGACAGTCAATATGTAGTTAACTTGATTAATCTGCTGGAGACAGCACCCCTATCATTCTCTGACAGTTCTGCTATAATATACCTAATTCTTCCTTTACAGCAGACTATCCACAAGTGGACTCATCAATTTTTTATTGGCCATATTCAAGCACATACTGATTTACCCAGACCTCTCTCTGCAGGCAACAGACATGCTGATGCTCTCACTCACCCAGTCACAGCCCCTGCCCTTTCTCCTTTGTGACAGGCTGAGACGTCTCACGCCTTGCATCACCAAGGCTCACGTAGCCTGTGGCTGCAGTTTCACATCACCAAAGAACAGGCTCGTGCCACTGTTAAGCAATGCCCTGCTTGTGTGACTCACTTGCCTCAAACTGCACATACCAGAGTAAACTCTCATGGCCTATAGCCTGGCCACATCTTTCAGATGGATATCACCCATATTGCTTCTTTTGGTCATTTAAAATATGTGCATGTAACTATTGACACTTTTTCTCATTTCATAATAGCTTCAGCCCATACAGGAGAGGCAGTCAAGGACATGACTGCTCATTGTCTACTCATGTTCTCCAGCCTAGGTGCACCAAAAATTTTGAAGATTGATAATGCTCCTGGTTACACCAGTTCTTCATTCCAAACCTTTTGTTCCCAATTTCAGGTGATTCATAATACAGGAATTCCCTATAATCATCAGGGACAGGGAATTGTTGAATGTGCTCATGCCACCCTCAAAACTTTATTACTTAAACTAAATAATTCACCTCCTTCCTTTTACAAGTCTCCACATGATGTACTTCAGCATGCTCTTTATGGTCTAAATTTTTTAACCCTTGATGCCCAGGGCCACTCAGCAGCTGATCCTTTCTGGCACCCAAGGGACTCAGCCACACCTATGGTGTTATGGAAAGATTTATTCTCTAATCAGTGGAATGGCCCTGACCCAGTGTTAGTTTGGGGCAGAGGTCACATTTGTGTCTTTCCTAGATCTGCCCCCTCACCTATCTGGGTACCTGAACAACATGCCCCAAAGAGGACAGTCCCCCCCAAGACCAGTGACCGTCCCATTTCCCCAACTGACATCTCCCCGTTGGCCGTGCCCTCAGATGACTTCACTGAACTCCCTTCTCCTGAGAATCTGACATCTACATCTGCAGAGGACAACGCCCCACTGTGCCCATCGCCCTCGGCACCAGCTGGCGCCTCCTCAAGAAGTTCCAGTCCCAACCTGGACCCAAATGCAACACCTGGTGACTAATGTGTCACGCATTGTTCGTCAGCAAGGACACTCCCTTAATCCAGCCATTCTGTTTTTAGCCATGCTAGCCATTTTGTCTTGTGATCCTATGTTGGCACGTTCTGTGCCCACTTATGATTCTCCTGACACTTTTTGGGCCTATATCCCTGATCCTCCTTTACTCCGCCCTGTTACTTGGGATGACCCTGCCTTTACTATCTTCCTTAACAACACCTCAATATTTGGCACCCCTGCAGCCACTCACATCTATCCTCAATCAGCAAATTACACCTTCTTTGGTCAATCTATTTCTCCTCCTATGTGTTTCCATGCTGCCAAACTGTACTCTATGCCCTTTTACATAGAGGATCCACATTATACACCTGTAATTACTACTCAGCCTTCACCCTCCTATTGCTTCAATTTAGGCATTCGCCTTTCGCTTATAGCGGCCTTGAAGCTCTACCCAAAAATACTCCCCAATTTACTAGAAATTGGATTATATCCTGTATTGGACTCAGGGAATTGTTAGAAGTTACTCCTGTTAAACTGCCCATATACAACCAGCAACCTTGTTATAAGACCAACAAATCTCTTGACCCCACACCTGTCTGGCATTCTTGTCTTCCCCCATCAGCTCATGCTCTTCACTCCTACCTTGTTATAGGGTTTCCTCTTTATGATTGGTCTGTACCCTCTCCTCATCTTTCTGGTATCTATCGATATGAGTCCCCCGGAGCATGGAATACTCCTCTATATACCACAGCCTCTGGCAAAACCTATTCCTCTTTATGGAGGCTTTTTCTGACTAATCGTCCTTCTACAGTCTACGCAGGCCTCGGAAGCAACGTTGCTAAGCCTGTACAAACCTTCTCCATTCGTTCTTGTGTAGCCGCTCCCTATTCCCTTTTGCTAGGGCCAGTGTCTTTTCATGTTCAAAATGGTCATTATACTATTTCCTGTTTAAATTGCTTACTCACAAACTGTATTGATGCTTCCATGTTCCCTATTGATACAATTGTTGTTGTTCATCAACCCCCTTATGTTATGCTCCCTATAAATATTTCAGGTCCTTGGTATGATGAGCATTCATACTCTCTGTTCTACAAAACCCAATCTCTGTTCCTTCGATGCCAAAAACGTTTCCTTGGTATGCTCATTGCTGGAATTGTTGCCATTGTGTCTGTGATAGCTTCTATAGCTACAGCTGCTGTCAGTCTTACTAAATCTGTTAATACTGCTGTATATGTGAATCACTTGGCAAAAAATGTTTCTATTGGTATGGGAACTCAAATGTCTATTGATGATAAATTAGAAGCTAAACTGAATGCCTTAGAACAAACTGTAACCATACTAGGAGATGAAGTGTATAACTTACAAAATTGACTTTCATTTCACCATCATGTTCATTATAAATATATTTGTGTTACTAGTGCTCCTTACAATGATTCCCAGTGGCAGTGGCCACTTATTAAGGCCCATTTACAGGGCATCTGGTCTCATAATCTCTCTCTTGACATCTCACGTTTGCAGCAAGAAATTTCGGCCATTGACCTTTCTCGGTCACAATTACCTGATGATGACTCTATTGCTCACTGTTTTGTTGGTGCCATGTCCTCTTGGGTACAACAGTTTTATATCCCCTCTTTTTCATCACTGCTTGCCATTGCTGCTTGTTTTCTTATACTGCTGATGTGCTTGCCATGTGTCTTCCGCCTCTTGTTCTCCACCTTCCGAGAAGTGCAATTGAAGGTGTTTGCCCTTCATTTGCAAAGTAAAAAACCATGAGATGCGGTGTTCACGCCAAGGACTTGAGACAGTTAGCATGACTCACCCCATCTTGGTTGCTGGACCTATCTGCTCTCCCCCCGCTCTCAAGGGCTGTCGAGTCGAGGTAAAAATGGCTAAGCCACTGAGGCAAAAACAGAATGCAGAGTAAGGGCCTGCGGTTTATGAGGACATTGTGCTGACTGCTTTCATATCCCCTTTAGTCTCTGTGTAAGCAATAGGATTGCTGCAATTGAGATGCCTGAGAGGGCAAAGACCCCTGCCCATATTTTCTCAGGAGCTGAGCCTCTGTTCTACCTCCTGATGGAAAATATGATTAACAAGCCACCTTAAGGGCACCATTGTTTGCTTGCACTGTGTATCTTTGAAAAACATATATTAACTCTTAAACTGCTTTGTAAGCTATTATCACAAGCCCCCTTAAAACTGCTTTGTGAGCTGTTATCACAAGCCCCTGATAACTATTTTTACGTGGTTTCTGTTCTCTTTTCTGTTTGCCCCCTTTTCTGCTGAGCTAAAGTAAATGCTAAGCTAAAGTAAATGTAACAAGACAAAAGGTATAAAAGCTGTAACCCACAAATATAAAGCTGTTTCTTGACTACAAGTTATTCAGACCTCCAGACTCCTCTTTTCTTTCTTCTTTCACTTCTGCGTACTCTCTCCCTCAGGTTGAACGAGACATCTACATTGGTGGTCTCGGGGACTCCCGCAGGTTCATAGCCCCCTGGCAGACATGCCGGACCGCAACATCAGGTCTCTTAGCACAGGCACCACTCCTAGAATTTCCAGTACAGCAGCAGCAGCCTAGAGAACACCCTACCTCGTGCTGCTAACCACCGAGACTACTGTTTGTACAGCAGAAAACAGATGGACACATCATACCTGAATCAAGAAAGAGCCATCACTGTTAAAATTATGGGCTAGTTCCAGGATCAGACCCTACCAAGCTAAAGCTAAGAAAAGTTTATCTATCTTTTCTCTTTCTTTTCTTCCCTTTAACTACTTCACATCTTATTAATGTAAACAGAATGAACTCACCTCAAGTTACTACATTTTTTTTTTTTTTTTTGAGAAGGAATCTCACTCTGTCACCCAGGCTGGAGTGCAATGGCATGGTCTTGGCTCATTGCAACCTCCACCTCCTGAGTTCAAGTGATTCTCGAACCTCAGACTCTGGAGTAGCTGGGAATACAGGTGTGTGCCACCACACCCGGCTAATTTTTTTGTATTTTTAGTAGAGACAAGGTTTTGCTAGCCTGGCCAGGCTAATCCCAAACTCCTGACCTCATGATCCACCTGCCTCTGCAGGTGGGATTACAGGCGTATGCCACTGTGCCTGGCCCCAAGTTATTATTTTTGATGCCTCTTTAGTTATGCCTTGTGGAGATTTACATGTCCAAAGACAGCTTACTATTTCAGAAAAATATCTCTGCCCTCTTAGACTTCGTCAGATTAGGAAGACATAATGAGTTCTTCTAAGGATACTAGTAATCCAAGAAATATTAGCTGCATTAATTGGTAGAAATCAAACTCTTGTCCCTCCAAAACAGAATCTCTATGTTCCGCTTAGTGTAATGTCATATGGAACACTAAAGGTTTAAGATAGACCTGCTTCCACAGGTCTTCGTCAGTCCATAAAACCATATATCCATTTCACCAAAGGAATTACTCCTGCTAACTTTCAGTACAACCAGTGTAATCCAATACAGCTTACTGTTGTTATTGCAGCATCAGAAAACTCTTCCCCTTCATTAAGTCATATTTATGGGATATGAGTCATTTCAGGAAGGGATCCTAAAGAAATTTTTGAAATGCACTTTATTGCTCCTTCAACCTCTATCAATCTCTCCTCCTAGACACAATGACAAAACCGAAATCTCAGTGGTAGACGTAGAGGACCTAAGGCAAACCATAGCCATTAACACAGGACATAAAGATGCAAATGCCTGGTTAGAAAGGATTAAATATTCCATTTGCACCTCAAATAAGTGCAACTGTTACGCTTGTATGCATGGTAGGCCAAAGGCCCAGGTTGTCCCTTTTCCACTTGTATAGCCCTTAAATCAAGCAGACATAGAATGCATAGTAGCTCTTTTTCAAGATTTCACTGCTTGGAATAACAAATTGTGCTGAGTTCTTTCTGCTATTTCCTGAAGTTGAACACCCTGCGGGTCAGCCCCAGAGGGCCATACAGCCTCCATCTTCCAAGGCAAAGTTTGCCTTGTGTCTCTCATGACAGGGGGAGAACTTAGTGTTCCTTGGAAAGTTAACAGGAGGCAGCGAAGTCAGGCACTTCTGACAGCTGGCTCATCAGTCAGCTCTTATTCATCCCTGAGCAGATGCATGGTGGTACTGTGGAGGACCTTTACTGGACACTCTGCCAGATAACTGGAGCAGCACTTGCGCTCTAGTCCAATTGCCTATCCCTTTTATCCTGGCATTTCATCAACCAGAAAAAGAGAAAATATGACATTGGCAAATAAAAGAAGCTCCTTATAGATCCTTTAATTCCCATGACTATCTAAATGCAATTGGAGCTCCTTGAGGAGTACCAGATAAATTTAAAGCCTGAGATCAAACAGCTATGATTTGAGCCAATGTTGTTTTGGTAGGTAACAATTAGTAAGAATTTATATTGAATAAACTACATTCATTACAACCAACAGCAGTGTACTCACTATACTAAAAATGCTGTCAAAAGAATAGCTGAACAATTAAGATCCACTAGCCAAATGGCCTGGGAAAACAGAATAGCCCTAGATACGATATTAGTGGAGAAAGGTGGTGTTCATGTTATAATTAAAACCCAGTGTTGTACCTTTATTCCAAACAACACTGCTCCCAATGGGAGCATTACAAAAGCCCTCTAAGGACTTACTGCTTTATCAAAGAAGTTAGCTAAAAATTTTGGCATCAATAACCCTGTTTCAAATTGGCTTAAAAGGTGGTTTGGTCAATTAAAAAATAATAATAATAACCTCAATTCTTACCTCTCTAGCAACTACGATAAATATACTTCTTCGCATTCGATGTGTGTCATACCACGCATCCAAGAGGCTAGTAAACACAACTCTTACTAAAATGTCCCCAAACCCTCCTCCACCCTATTCAAATAAGATTACTTTTTCTTCCTTCTTTTGCCTCATTTGGTAGACAAAGGTATAGATTACTTCTTTAGAAGAACAAACAACAAAGATGTGTTAAATAAATTTGAAGAGGAATTAAAAAATATAAAAAGGAACGAATTGTAGGAAATAAGAATAAATAAAAGGTTCTTCTTCAAAGCTTTCCTCTTAGTTCATTTCGAATAAATAATGGGTTGTTCAAAGTTTAATTTACTGTAAAGCTTTTGCTAATAATCTTAAAGTAGCTGTTAGTCATAATAAAGAGATAAAGTATCCTGCGTTCTTAGTTCTTACACTTTAACCTAGATATTTGCCCTGACATGCTGGGACAAGCCCAGGCAAGACTTTGGTCATAGCTTATTTCCCTTCCATATTTGGAAATGTTATTGCTTCTCTAAGCATTCCTCTTTTCCTTTGTTCTCCTCTGCCTTTACCTCTTTAGAAAAATTGTGTTAGCCAACGGGGTGCAGCCTAAACTGTGAAGTCCAGTTCCAGCCAATAAAATCAGGACACAACAGTAGGGCGAATGTGTTAGATATAAATAGCCCTGCCTCCTTTGTTCAGTGTCCCTTCCTGGCAAAATGGCAAACTGGAGCACACTTTCTGCAGAAAGTAAAGTTGCCTTGCTGAAGAAAATTAAATTTATATTCAAGTGTTACTTCTTTTATGGCAGTGAAAATTTACATGAAACAGGGAGGTTGCAGTGAGCCGAGATCAAGCCACTGCACTCCAGCTTGGGCAACAGAGTGAGACTCTGTCTCAAATAAAAAAAAAAAAAGAAAGAGGAAAGGCATAACTATTACCTATATAGTTGGATTTTTTTTCACAATAAAGAATGGGAGTGCCCTTTCCACAAGATGGCACCAAAAGATAAGGAGGAAGCTCCTGCCCCTCCTAATGCCCAGGCCAAAGGGAAGGCTTTGAAGGGCAAGAAGGCAGTGTTGAAAGGTGTCCACAGCCACAAAAAAAAGACCTGCACGTCACCACCTTCCCACAGCCCAAGACACTTACTCTGGAGGCAGCCCAAATATCCTAGGAGAAACAAGCTTCACCACTATGCTATCATCAAATTTCCTCTGACCACTGAGTCAGCCATGAAGAAGACAGAAGACAACAACACACCTGTGTTCATTATGTATGTTAAAGCCAACAAGCACAAGATCAAACAGGCTGTGAAGAAGTTCTATGACAGTGATGTGGCCAAGGTCAATGCCCTGATTAGGCCTGATGGAGGAAAAAGGCATTAAGTTTCACTGGCTCTTGATTACAATGCTTTAGACATTGCCAACAAAATTAGGATCATCTAAACTGAGTCCAGCTGGCTAACTCTAAATATAGGTATCTTTTCACCAGACACATGCCACTTCATCAACTTCTGGTTGGGCTGGGGAGGTCATTCACAGGTATGGGGGTTATAATAGGGTCTGGACAAGGCTCCTGTTCTACTTATCCTTTTGGATCACTCACCCTGACACTCCACCATGCTCACTTACTCCAGAGATCTTTGTGACTAGAGTTAGTTGTCCTAGGAAAACCAGAATTTGTCTCCATCGTAGAGATAAGAAAACAAGAAGCTGTCGGGTGCAGTGGCTCACACGCAGCACTCTGGGAGGCCAGGAGTTTGAGACCAGCCTGGGCAACATGGTGAAACCCCATCTCCACTAAAAATACAAAAATTAGCTGGGCGTGGTGGCACACACCTGTAGTCGCAGCTACTCAGAAGGCTTTCACAGGAGAATCAACTGAACCTGGGAGGCGGATGTTGCAGCGAGCCTAGCTCATGCCACTGCAGTCCAGCCTGGGCAACAGAGGGAGATTCCTTCAAGAAAGAAAAAGAAAGAAAGAAAGAAAAGAAAGAAAAGAAAGAAAGAAAGAAAAAGAAAGAAAGAAAGAAAGAAAAGAAAGAAAGAAAAAGAAAGAAGAAAGAAAAGGAAAGGAAAGGAAAGGAAGGAAAGAAAAGAAGAAACTTTTCAAGGACTCCTTCTTTTATCCCTGGAGGAGGCTGTGTGTGAAACCAGTGCCCAGAGTTTGAAGGGCATTAACATCCATTTCATGGGAGTGTGGGTTGGCTGGCTTTCCAGCGGCACTTTGACCTCACACACCCATTTACTATGTCCAACTGGTCTGTCTGCTTCCCTCTGCCTTTACCCAATAACGGACAAAAACTTTAATTAAAAAAAAAAAAAAAAAAAGAGTAGGAGTGAGGAACAAAGAGCATTTTCCTTTTTTTTTTTTTTTGAGACAGTCTTGCTCTGTCTACCAGGCTGTAGTGCACCATCTCGGCTCAGTGCAACATGCATCTCTGGTGTTCAAGCAATTCTCCTGCCTCAGCCTCCCTAGTAGCTGGGATTACATGTGTGCTCCACTATGCCTAGCTACTTTTTGTATTTTTACTTGAGACAGGATTTCACCATGTTGGCCAGGCTGGTCTCGAACTCCTTACGTCAGGTGATCCTCCTGGCTTGGCCCCCCAAGGGCTGTGATTACAGGGGTGAGCTACAGTGCCCAGCCTTTTCTTTCTTTTTTGGAAATGGGGTCTTGCTCTGTTGCCCAGGCTGGAGTATAGTGGCGTGATCAGAGCTCACTGAGACCTTGATCTCCCAGCCTTAATTGATCCTCCCACCTCAGCTTCTGGAGTAGCTGGGACCACAGGTGGCACCAAAAGATAAGGAGGAAGCTCCTGCCCCTCCTAACGCCCAGGCCAAAGGGCCACCTTGCCTGGCTAATATATTTTTTTAAAATTATTATTTGTAGAGATGAAGTCTCATTATGTTGCCCAGGCTGGTCTCTAACTCCTGGCCTCAAAGGATACTTCTGTCTTGCCCTCTCATAGTGCCGCGATTACTTCTTCGATGCTTAGTCAAGAACACTAGGAAAAACTTCTGAGACGTAACTTCAGTTTACCCTTTGCGTTTTTATGTGTGCTCTTACTTTTTTTTTCTTCTGTTGTACAGAGGTATTACTCACCTTGTGCAGTCTCGGCTCTCCACCCAGGCACAAGCAGCTCTTAATCACCCTTAAGTTCAGCAGCCACTGAAAGCTAGCCTGAGGAGATAAAGTTCACAGTCAACATAGTTCTCTCCATTCCTGCAATATCACGCAGGCACATTCACTTTTAAAATGCAGAATGGTATGGGTTGCATTTTTCTGTCAGTCTTATCTGCATTTAGAACCTGTGGTGGTGTTTTCTTTTCTGTCAAGATATCACCAGAAACGACCTACTTTTTTGTTAACCCCTGGCACACCTCAGGAGGACTTTTAAAGAGAAATCTTTTTGCCCAATTACACATGGTTGAATTTTACTTCAATCTGCCTTTACTTACTTCTTGAAACAACTAATTTCATCCTGCAGTTTAAAAAGCAAAACTGGTAAGAAACTCAGAATCACAATTTTATGCTCTTTTGTAGTTATTCTAGTGTTAAAAAACAATGTAAATTTAGATGAGAACCGTGTGCACCAGGGGGCTGTGATACCATTTTAAAAGTAAATGAGCACACAGTACAAAATACAGTGCTGCCATTAATATTCAATACCTACTGTACACACTTCAAATTACAGTTTAGTTTCTTCGCTACCAGGCTTCTAGCGCCATAGGCGGTGAGTATGCCAGTGCTTCTTGACTGTGATTGAGTTGCCTACGAGAGTCCACCAGTGGGTCTGCAGGATCCCATTTAGTTTTAGTAACTGTGGCTGGTGTCCAGGAGTCTGTTCATGCGATCTGAAAGTCAGCCTCTGACTTAGGACAGCGCGGGGAACCAATTTGGTCTTAGGAGTGCCCCCGCAGAGTGTTTGACTCCAAAGGCAGGGCAGGGCAGACGAGACCCGAAGAAGGGAGCGTGTCCCCAGGCCCTTCCTTTACCAAGATGGCTTCGGCGCCCCGACCCACGGGGGCGGCCATCTTGGTAAGGGCTCGAGAGGCAGCCTGAGGGAGGCCGCCGCTGGCCCGGTTCTCAAAGGTCACAATAAGTAAGTGACCCGGCGACGACTCGCCCCAAGAATGGCGAGGCGGCGAACGCTGAAGCGCTGCCTGCAGCTGCTGGCGCCCTCGGCGGAACTGGCGCGGCGAGCCCGGGGGCGGGGGAACCCGGGCACCAGCCGCCGCGGCCCCTCCAGCTACGCTGGGGCGGTGTGCTGCGCGGAGCTGTGCCCGGGAACGCAGTGGCCGGAAGCCGAAGAACAGCGGCGGCGACAGCGCGCGCGCCCGGCCACCCCCAACGCAAGGTGAGTCCGCGCCCCCGCGCTCTCATCCCGCCCCTCTACCGCGCGCCCGCGGACCGGGATTGCCAGTGCCCTAGAACTCTGCGGCGGCTGTGGGACCTCTCTGGAGGCAGTTTTCTCCCGACCGCTGTGCTCTGTGGCGTCTCCGCTGCCACCTCCAGGGTCTCTGGGCGGAGCAATCCGCACTTTGGAGCCTAGGGTGGTTTGGAATTCTTCGGCGAAGTGGAGCGGGCTGTGAGTGGGTTTCCCGGTCCCCGAGCCGTTCCTTGTCCCGGAGATGCCGCACTTGTGAGCGATAGAGCTTCATTTAAATTTTCTTACCTCGCGAGTTGGGGAGCCTGCATCTCTGAAGCTGCCTGAGTGAAGAGCCACAGCATTATTTTTTCTCTTTGGGAGAGTAGCTGTCTGGGATTTGTTTGAGATCCCATCTTTCCTGCAAATTACCAGGTTGCATCTTCATTGATAGGAATACATGTGGGTGTATCTTCTTTTAGTTGTATGTAAATAAATGGGTCGACAACTTCCTCCGAGCAACTTATTGTTGCTTCATCTATAGTATTTATCTTCTAAAAATCCATTCCAACAGGTTTCTTCCCTTTTCTTTTGGAATAAGTGTACTTATTTATGGAATGGAAATGAAGAGCAAAAAAAATGGGGCTAGGTAGGGGAGGGGTGGTGGAAGGCTGTGATTTCTTAAGTTTTCTGTTTTCTGTTCTGTGGTTGTTTGCTTCTTATAAATTGGATATTATTGCAGGCTTTTCAGAGCACGTATTCAGATAGGTTTTTTTTTTTTTTTCAGGCTAGAACTCTATGGTCCTGGTAGTTGAGGTAAATATTCTTCCATGAGTTCTGGGATCTCATGCATTTATTATACTTCAGTTAAACCTGGACAATATTAAGGGAGTGAGAAAAGTTAACAATCTTTTAAAAAGTTATTTCGTTCTTGTCTTTGCCTTTAATGTAGGTTGATATATATATATATGTTATAATATGACTGACTCACCTGGTTGACTGTGGCTTAGCATGAAATGTTTGCTGCTTGATAATTCTGGATAATTAATTTGTCCGAGAAATCATTCCTGAGATGCAGTTTAGCAAACTGAAATAATTTCCATGTTTGTTAAAAAATGGAAATCTCTAACAGTTCCATTTCTATTTTCAGTTACATTGGTTATGAATTAGCCGCAGACATGGACATCATTTAGAAAAAGTTATGTAATCTTTAACAAGAAAAGATTACCTATATCCCACAATAGTGTGATTTTTGTTGCAAGAAAATACTAGGTCTGTTAAAGAAGAAATTTAGGGTAAAAGTACTTATTTAAAATAAGAGAGAGATTGAGGTGTTAAAGTTGTTTTAAGTGAACTGAAAATATAGTCAGGATTTTCAGAGATTTTATTTTGTTAACATTCTGGAGGCTTTCCTGCTACAAGAATTATGGTAAGTCTCCAAGAGATAAAAATACTTAGTGTATTTCTCATACCCGTATTTTCACTGATAGTTTTAAATTATACTGTAGAAATTCTATATTGCAAAATTCTAATTTAAAATTAGTCCAGTTATAACTATTATGAAGAACATTTTAGCATAAGCATTCCATCACAGGGTTTTGGTTATGCTTGAGTCGATACCGTCATCCTTGTGTTTGTTCGAAAGTCATTCTTGTGTTCGTTTGTATGTTACGTTGAGTATTTGTGAGTTTGGAAAACTGAGGGAATTTTTTTGAACATTTAGTCTGTGTTTGGAAAAGCAGCATTTGCCTTTAATTTTATTGTTTCATTCTGCTTTTTCTTTGTAGTGTTGGATAGCTGTGGATGTAGTGGGTTTTTCCATTGGTTTCTATGCTTTATAAATAAGAATATAGTGATAGCTGGAGGACTCTTGATCTGGGCTTTTTAGATTGAAATGCATACACATAAAAAGTGTTTTCATTGAAGTATTATTAGGGAAATTAACTGTGTATATAATTAATCATTAAAGAGTACTTTTATTCTGGAGGCCTGTGAGGGCATGCATAAAACTGGCATTAAAAAAATCACCCATGTGATTTCCAGCATAAGGTTCAAGTAATATATCATTCTAACACCTATACTACTGAAGAATTCTGTCTATAATTTATACTGCTTTGCTTGACTTGTCTTTTGAATTTAATAACCATTTATTGTGTATTTAAGTAGTTTTACTAACAGACTTTGGAGACAGATAACATATGAACTCATATATCCCCAGGGGCAGTTTTATGTTAGAGATATAGTCTTCTGCCAGCTCAGCTGGTTAAATAATGTGTTACATCTTTATCATTTACCAAGCTCTTTCAAGTATTTTAAATATATGTATATATAGAGAGTTTGATTTTATAGATGTATGTGAGATCATTAGCCCTGTTCCACAAATGAGGAAAATAGAACACTGAGAGCCTAGGAGAGTTTGGTGATTTGGCCAGGGTCCCTTAGCTCTGCAGCCCCAGCCTTCAGCAAAATGTATACACTGCAGACTCTTATTACACTGGGATTCCAATGAATCGAAAGTGGAGGGGTGTGGATGAGCAAGCGTTGGTCAGCAACACACTCATAGATTGCACCCCTGTCTCTAGGTAACAGGTTGTGAATGGTCAGCTCTGTTGGCTATGGAAGCACAGGTCTGGCATATAGATGGATCAGCATAATTCAGAATCTTGATTGAAAAACGTCTCAGTTTGAGCCTGCTACCTAGAGCAATCGTTTTTCCCCTTGAAGGCGTAGATTCTTGTGTTTATCTAATTTGGGTACCTTCCCAGATTAAGGGACAGTAATATATTGATTGAACAATGAATGCCTGTAGATTTCTGTGTGCTTTTGTAATCTCTCTCAGTTGCAAGAATGAATAAAGAAACACCAAGCTTTCACATTTTTTTTTTTTTTTTTGAGACGGAGTTGCGCTCTGTCACCCAAGCTGGAGTGCAACAGGGCAATCTCAGCTCACTGCAACCTCTGCCTCCTGTGTTCAGGTGATTCTTGTGCCTCAGCCTCCCAAGTAGTTGGGATTACAGGCTTGCCACCATGCCCGGCTAAAACTGGTCACATCTTTTTTTTTTTTTTTTTTTTTTTTAATAAAGACGGGGTTTCACCATGTTGGTCAGCCTGGTCTTGAACTTCCAACCTCAGGTGATCTGCCTGCCTTGGCCTCCAAAGTGCTTGGATTACAAGCGTGAGCCACCACACCTGGCCAAAACTAGCCACATCTTAATAGGGCAGCTGGAGTTATCTTCTGTATTTTGAAGGTCTTTCAATTACAAAGATGTTTCCTGTTCAAGTTACTGTGTATGTTCCTTTAGTTTTTTTAGAGAACTCAAGAAAAGCTCTGTAAACTAAGCTGTCTATATAGTGTGAACGTGTGTGTGTATGTGTGTGTGTGTGTGTGTGTGTGTTTTCCAGAATGTTGTGGTATTTTATGGTTAACGTAACCAATGAAAGCTTAAAGAGTTTCTGGACTCAAGTTCTTTTTTTTTTTTAACTTGAACCCAAACTAAGTAAAATACCCCACATAAAGTAAAATGTGTCATTTATCTTCCTGTGCTGATTGTATGCTCTTGAGGTTCCAAGTGTTTCTAAGCATAATTAAGGTGACAACATGGCTGATAGATAGTCCAGGCACCATCATGAGCCAGAGCTAGATCCTTGGAATGTCATGTAACTCCCTGGCCTGACTTGCTTTACCTATTAGGTAAAAGGATCACACAAGTGATGACTTCTGTTGTGGAATATTCAAGTTGGAAAGGACATTAGAGGGAATATACCTGGTCCAATCTCTTTAACGTGAAGTTTTTTCATTTCTGCCTTCACAGGAGTTTAGCCTGTCATGATTACCTCAAAACTGAACAAAATTGGTCTTTTCACCATTTCACAGATATGAATTACTTTACAGTTCTTCGCTGATAGTTGATTCCTTTCTCAATCTTTCCTCATATAGTGTCTCACTTTAATATGTAGACTAAATATCCATTGTATATAAATGTGCATGTGCTGTGTGAAGCCTGTTTTTTTTGCTGGGTGAATGCTAATACTGGTGCACATATTGAATATCATCAGAATGAAGAATTTGATCTAATAAACTTTTTTTGGTATTCTTAGCAACATTATCTTAGTTAAGCCTGGTTATGTAGAGCATTATATATATATATATGTATTTTTTTTTTTTTTTGCTTAGCCACTCAGATACCTCCGTGTCTTATTTTATAATCTTCATCTTCAATTTAGTTTAAACTGCCCATCCATTTATAAATTTTGTTGAAAATATGATATGCATTTACATGGTAACCGGCGGCATAGAATGATCCACCCTCCAGGTTTTCCCAGAACCAAAGGAGTTCCCAAGATGCAGGAATTTTTTTTTTTTTTTTTAAAGACAGAATCTCGATCTGTCACCTGGGCTGGAGTGCAGTGACAGGTTCTCAGCCCATCGCAACTTCCACCTCTTGGG